CCCATGGTTCGGTTGGCAGCATTCTCGCCTCACACACTGAGTGTCCGAGATTCAGTCCCCGGCATGAGTGAAAACGTTAGGCATGTTTCCTTTCATGTGCTGTCCCTGTTCGTCTAGCAGTAAGTAGGTACCTAGGTGTTAGTCAGCCGGTGTGGTTTGTCAGGAAATGGGATGAGAGTTACCTGGCGTGGGCTGTAGTCATAAAGACGCGCAGCTAGAGTTTTTGGCCATCTGAGGCCTACCACTGGCTTACCGGTCCACCCTTTGAAAATTATGGTCATGATTATAACCATTGAATATATAGCCGGTTTGGGCCTTTTTCTGAGGAAGATTAAATGACCCAGTGGAACTAAAACAATCCGATGCCAGTGCTCTACTGGGTTGTGCTGGGTTACTAACCCTCATAGCCCAGCTCCACAAAGGGGGCAGTAAAACAATAGCAAAGAACTACAGACCGATAGCGCTAACATCCCAATTATAAAAATCTTTGAAAGGGTTCTAAGAAGCAAGATTGCCACTCATCTAGATACCCATCAGTTACACAACCCAGGGCAAAATGGGTTTAGAGCAGGTCGCTTCTGCCTGTCCCAACTACTGGACCACTATGACAAAGTCCTGGATGCTCTAGAAGACAAATAAAACACAGATGCAGTATACACAGACTCAGCAAAAGACTGACAAGTGTGATCATGGTGTAATAGCGCACAAAATGCGTGATAAAGGAATAACAGATAAAGTTGGTAGATGGCTCTATAATTTTGTAACAAATAGAACACAAAGTGTAGTTGTAAACAGTAAAGTCTGAGGCGGCTACTGTGAAAAGCTATGTTTCACAAGGAATAGTACTCGCTCCCATCCTGTTCCTCATCCTCATATCTGACATAGACAGGGATGTAAACCACATCACTGTGTCTTCCTTTGCAGATGACACCCGAATTTGCATGACAGTGTCCTACATTGAAGACACTGTAAGACTCCAGGCAGACATCAATCAAATCTTTAAATGGACAGCAGGAAACAGTATGAAGTTCAGTGATGACAAATTTCAACTATACTCCGATATGGAAAACGTCAGGAAATTGAAACTATATCGTAATAATAAGCAAATTGCAACCACACAATAGAGCGAAAAACTAATGTAAAAGACCTGGGAATGATAATGTCAGAGGATCTTACTTCCAACGACCACAACATTATATCACTCGCATCTGCTAGAAAAAAATGACAGGATGGATGATCAGAACCTTCAGAACGGGATGCCAAGCCCATGATGACACTCTTCAACTCGCTTGTTCTATCTAGGCTGAAATATTGCTGCACACTAACAGCACCTTTCAAGACAGGTGAAATTGCTGACCTAGAAAATGTACAGAGAACCTTCACGGCGCGCATAATTGCTACAAAACACCTCAGTTACTGGGAACGCTCAAAGTTCCTCAACCTGTACTCCCTAGAACGCAGGCGAGAGAGATGCATGATTATATTCACTTGGAAAATCTCAGAGGGATTAGTACCAAACTTGCACACGAAAGCAAAAGACTCGGCAGACAATGCAACACCCCCTCAGTGAAAAGTAGGGGCGCCACTAGCACGATAAGAGACAACACAGTAAGTGTGAGGGGCCCAAGACGGTTCAGCTGCCTCCCAGTATACATAAGGGGCATTACCAATAGGCCCCTGGCTGTCTTCAAGAAGGTGCTGGACAGGCATCTAAAGTCAGTACCTGACCAGCCGGGCTGTGGTTCGTACGTCCGGTTGCGTGCGGCCAACAGTAAAAGCCTGGTTGATCAGGCCCTGATCCACCATGAGGCCTGGTCACAGATCGCGCGGTGGGGGCGTTAGCCCCCGAAACCCTCTCCAGGTATCTGGGGGTGATTAACCTCCCAATGATATAACCCAGCCGGAGCGGGGCAGTAGTGACATCCAAGAGTCTGGTTATTTTGTTAGGTGAGACACATATGCAACAGTTACGTATCTTTATTTCGAAACGTTTCGTCTACACAGTAGGCTTCTTCAGTCGAGTACAGAAAAGTTGATAGAAGCAGAAGAGACTTGAAGACGATGTAATCAGTCCATTACCCTTGAAGTTTTGAGGTGGTCAGTCCCTCAGTCTGGAGAAGAGCATTGTTCCATAGTCTGAAACAATATGGAGTTGAAGTGATATATAGCCTTATATAGCGCCAGGAGGTGAGACGTAGGTCACTAGTAGAGGCAAGAACGTAGATGTTGGGACGTTCTTGCCTCTACTAGTGACCTACGTCTCACCTGGCGCTATATATTGTTTCAGACTATTCAAATTCAAATTCAAATTCAAATTCAAAGTTTATTCTCTATAAGGATTACAATGCTGAGTTTACAGAAATTTGGTTATTGTTTGGTTTACATGTAGTAAAATTGTGATTACAGAGTGTACCACTAGAACGCTTAGCATGGCTAGGCATTTCGGGCATACTTAGTTTTATTCTTAATTGTAAAATATTACAAATTATGAGGTAAGTTGGTATTATGGCTAAGTGACTAAATACTAGTTTGTGAGTTTAGCAATGTGAATGCTTTTTGTTTTTGGCACAGTACATAGTTTCAGTATTGGAGTATCACAGGATTCATTATTTTAAGACTGAGATTAATATTTCTGTTTATGGTCAAATGAGTGAGCGAGTATAAGTGTGAACCACCAGGTGGTATTCGTGTAGTTAGTTGACGGGGTGTATCAGGGAGATAAGATGTTTTCTAATGGTAGTTTTGAAGGTGATGAATGTGTCTGCAGTTCTAGAGTTCTCAGGTAGGGTATTCCAGATTTTAGGGCCTTTGACATACATTGAATTTTTGTAAAGGTTTAGTCGGACACGGGGAATGTCGTAGAGATGTTTGTGTCTGGTGTTATGCCTGTGGGTTCTGTCACAACTATTAAGAAAGCGTTTTAGGTCAAGGTTGATATTAGAGTTTAAGGCCCTGTAGATATAGATTGCACAGTAGTAAGTGTGGATGTACTGAACTGGGAGTAAGTTTAGATCTATGAAGAGTGGGGGGTGTGTTTGCCAGGGATGGATTTAGTGATTATTCTTACTGCAGCTTTTTGTTGGGTTATTATTGGCTTTAGGTGTGGTTGCTGCAGTTGATCCCCAAGGACAAATAGCATAGGTGAGGTATGGATAAATAAGTGAGTGGTATAGTGTGAGAAGGGCATTTTGCGGCACGTAGTATCGTATCTTGGAGAGGATCCCAACCGTTTTGGATACTTTTTTGGCTATATGCTGGATATGGTGTGCTGAAATTCAGGTTGTTGTCAAGGTATAAGCCTAGGAATTTTCCCCATTATTTCTGGTAATTAGAGTGTTGTCAATCTTAATGTTAATTTGTGCATCTCCTGCTCTGCTACCAAACATAATATAGCAGGTTTTGTCAGTGTTAAGCGTAAGTTTTATTGGCTGTCATCCAAGTCGATATTTTAATCAGCTCCTCATTCACAATGGTGTTGAGGGTGGCAAGATTAGGGTGAGAGATGACATAAGTCGTGTCATCAGCAAAGAGAATGGGTTTTCAGGTGTTGGGATACGTTGGAAGGTCATTGATGTATATGAGGAAGAGCAGGGGACCAAGGACACTTCCCTGCGGAACTCCAGTATCAAGTGGCCGTGTTGCTGATGCTGTGTCTTTAATGGTGACGTACTGATACCTATTAGTAATGTAAGATTTGAAATAAGCAAGCGCATGGCCTCTTATACCGTAGTGATCAAGTTTGTGGAGTAGGATGTCGTGGTTTACTGTGTCAAAATCTTTTCTTAGGTCAATAAAAATTCCTAGTGGATATTCCTTATTTTCCAATGCTGTGTAAAGCAGATCTAGCATTTTTATGATTGCATCATTAGTGCTTTTATTTTTCCTGAATCCAAACTGGCAGGGGTTGAGTATGTTTTGAGCCGTTATAAATGAATACAGTCTCCTGTGCACGAGTTTCTCAAAGATTTTGGATAGCAATGGTAAGTTAGATATTGGCCTATAGTTGTTTACGTCTGTAGGGTCACCACCTTTATATATTGGTGTAACCCTTGCCATCTATGGAACAATGTTCTTCTCCAGACTGAGGGACTGACCACCTCAAAACTTTAAGGGTGATGGACTGATTACATCGTCTTCAAGTCTCTTCTGCTTCTATCAACTTTTCTGTACTCGACTAAAGAAGCCTACTGTGTAGGCGAAACGTTTCGAAATAAAGATACCTAACTGTTGCATATGTGTCTTACCTAACAACCTGTCGGTATTTTATACCATTTTAATCCCCTCAAGGAAGGGTCCTTGATGTTGGTGAGGGGCTCTTGATTTAGGAAATTGGATCTGTGCTCCAGTTCCCCGAATTAAGCCTGAATGCCTTCCACATCCCCCCCAGGCGCTGTATAATCCTCCGGGTTTAGCGCTTCCCCTTGATCATAATAATAATAATAATATACCATTTTAATGTTCAGTCTGGTTATTTTGTTGGAAGCGCCATAGACATTGCTCCTCCTGCATGATAGAATAATGATAGATGCACTGACTGCATTTTACGTCAGTAAAGTTCAGTTGAAGTTCTTTTCGTCGAAACCAATTCTTCCTTGAGGTATTTTGTAGTAATCTGTCTTATATTGTAGTAAGTAGTAATTCATAGAACTGACGCAAACAAACCCACTTAAGTAACAAAAAGGCACAATACCGTGACTGGAACGATACACAAATAACCCGCACATAAAAGAGAGAAGCTTCTCTCTTTTATGTGCGGGTTATTTGTGAAACCCACTTAAGATTATTGCATCATCCACGTTTATAGTCTCGGTTGGTCTTAATGGAGTGCACACTTCACACACTATCTTTGCCCTGACCACTAGTGATGAGGTAATCATATTCACTCCCAGGAAACTTGTCCTCCTCATATTATGCCAGTTTGGAGACAAGATACTTTGTTCCTCCTCTTCCGCTCTATGAATTTCATCAGCTTTAGAGGAAGCCGGTTACTGTCTCAGGTTGAGTATGGCCGTCTGGCTCTCGCGGATTTAAGGCGGGGATCCACTTCGTTTATTTGAAAACAATTGCTCCTTTTTCTCTTTCCAGGGGACACCGTTCCCTTCCCGGATCTCGACTATATATAGGCAAAATAAAAGTCCCTGAACACCATGAGGCGTCACTTGTTGTTGTGGCCCTATAAACTCTCAACACGAACAGGACAAGATCAACTCTCAAGTGACGACAAAGTTCTTGGAGGATCTAAAATACTCTTACTTCAAGAGAATCAACAGATACATCTACATATTCCACTTAGGCAATAGGAAGCAGTGTGTGGTTGTTACAGTGGTGATCATCTTGGGAGAGATGAGTTACTATGAGTCTGTTACTGGATTACTCTGGCAAGAATCTCACCAAGACGGTAAGTGACAGTATACTCCCAACTTATTTAATCTCACCATTAACGGGTTTACGCCCCTCAAGGAAGGTTCCTTGATGTTGGTGAGAGGCTCTTGATTTAGGGAATTGGATCTGTGCTCCAGTTCCCTGAATTAAGCCTTCCACCCCCCCCCCCCCAGGCGCTGTATAATCCTCCGGGTTTAGCGCTTCCCCCTTGATTAGCCCATAACCATAGCAACATAAAGGACCCCAATGGAAAAGTCACTTTGACTTTTTTGGGTTATCCTAGGTAATCTGAACATATGGTGCTACGTATGATAATTTATGTAACTGTATTTATGTGTACCTATACCTGAATAAACTTATTTAAAAGTTAGCCTACGGCATATAAATTTTAGCCTATAACTGTAACAACATTAAAAGTTAGCATATAGCATATAAACTTAGCCTAAAACCAAACAGTTGCCAATTGAGTCATGATGACAACTTTGAGGGGACTTTCAAAGTATATTCTCTATAAGGAGTTCCACAGTCAAACATTAGCCAATTTAGTCAAAACCTAGGAAGTATGATAACTGATGCACGCATGAACAAAGATCACTTACTACTCTCAGGTGACTTCAATATAAATCTCCTGCAAGACCAGGACCCACATGTTACTGAATTCACAAACACAATGAGTAACTGTATGTTACTACCAACAGTAACAAAACCTACAAGAGTTACAGAGACTAGTGTTTCCCTACTTGACCACATCTGGACCAACACCATATCCCCTTTAAAATCAGGCATAATTACAGATAATACCACAGACCACTACCCGACTTTCCTCATAACAACTCTTGGTAAAATACCCCAAGACACTACTAAAGTCACCTTCAGACTTCACAATGAGGCAGCCATTAATAACTTCACAACAGCAGTAGCAAACATTGATTGGCACACTGAGCTAGAAATCTATACAGATACTGACGAATATATTAATAATTTTCTAAAAAAGACCCAATACCTCTATAACAAGCACTGCCCAAAAAAAACTAAACAGATGACAGCTAAGAGACTGAACAGTCCCTGGCTAACACCCAGCATTCTCAAATCCATAAATACAAAACACCAATATGAAAAACAGTACAGAATGGGTCACATAACCAGAGACCAAACAAAACGTTACTCGTCAATCCTAACCAGCCTGATAAGAAAGGCAAAAAAAATGTGTTATGAGAACAGATTATCCAACTTACGAGGTGATATAAAAAAGACCTGGAAACCCTATCAGAAATTCTGGGAACAAAAAAGATATCACGAAATAGCGAAATAAAATTAGCAAAATCAGATGAACCCCAACTCCCACCAACAGAAACAGCAAACAGACTCAATGATTTCTTCTCCACTATAGGACAAAACCTTGCCAATAAAATCCCAAGCTCAGATACCTCACCAAATGACTACCTCACCGGCAACTACCCGAACACATACTTTCCTAGCTCCGACTAACCTTACGAAGTCTCCCTTATTATCAACGCACTAAAAAACAAGGCAGGAGATTTAAATACCTTTCCACCCTTTATATACAAAAAATGTCACAAAAATTTCTCATCACCCCCCTTGCCCCCCCCTTTAAAAAAAATCCATAGAATTTTTAAAAACCCTTCCCACAGTAATCAAAATAGCAAGGGTTTACCCCAAACCCCAAAGGAGGGACCAAACAGAGTTGAATAAAATATAGGCCCAAAATCCCAACTTACCCCCCCCCCAAAAATCTTGAAAAAAATTTAAATTTATAACGAATCTACTCCCTTTCCTTATCTTTCCAAAACATACTCAACCCCTGCCCCAATTTTGGTTTTTGGCCTAATTTAAAAAAACTTAAAGATGCTATTTTAAAAAGCTGAAACCCTTATTTTTTCACTGGGAATAGAGGAAAAAAAAAAGTTTCCCCCCGGGGGGGTTCATTGGGCTTTTCTTTAAAGCTTTTGATCCGTTTTCCATTTACTTGCTCCAAAGTAAAATTGGGAAAACTATGGTATAAGGGGCACTCCCTTTAACTTCCCCAAGGGCATACCTCGCAAAAAGGAAGCCAATATGTGAACGGGAAATTGGGGGCCCCAAACTCTTTGCGCAAAACCAAATTTCAGTGGTTTTCCCACAGGGAAGTGTCCTTGGCCCCCCTTTTTCTTTCTCCCTTTTAAAATAAATTTACCTTTTCCAAAAGCTTGGCAAATTTCTCAAAACCCCCCCCTATTTTTCAGATGCACTACTACGTCTTCTCTCACCCGAGCCCCGTCACGCTAGCCAATACTTAAAAACCCAAAAACAGAAAATATCCCAAACCGGGATGAGGACTAAAAAAATTTTACTAAAAATTGGGGCAAAACCCACTTCAATTTAGTTTGGTTTAAAAGGCAAGATGTCCCCTTAACATAACGACTGAATGTACAACAATGCATGCAACCATATGACCTGTCTTTGTAATACTCATTTGTGCTTTATAGTTATCTGTTTACAATAATGTATTATCACTGATTTCATCATTGCTTAGTTAATTTTAAGCCAGCCCGAAATGCTATGCATAGTATAAGTGGCTTTGGCATGCTGCTCTTATCTGTATTTTTTTGTACCTCGTATGTATGCTCAAATTTAAATAAATAAATAAATAAATAAATAAATAAAGGATTACAATGCTGAGTTTACAGAATTTGGTTATTGTGTGGTTTACATGTAGTAAAATAATAATTACAGAGTGTACCACTAGAACACCTAGCTTGGCTAGGCATTTCGGGCAGACTTAGATTAAATCTTAAGTTTAAAATATTACAAAATTATGAGGTAAGTTGGTGTTATGGCTAAGTGACTAAATACTAGTTTGTGAGTTTAGCAATGTGAATGCTTTTGTTTTGGCACAGTACATAGTTTCAGTATTGGAGTATCACAGGCCAACTTATGACTAGTTAAGATTCATTATTTTAAGGTTGAGATTGATATTTCTGTTTATGGTCAAATGGGTGAGTGAGTGTGTGAACCACCAGGTGGTATTCGTATTATTAGTTGACAGGGTGTATCAGGGAGATAAGATGTTTTCTGATGGTAGTTTTGAAGGTGATGAATGTGTCTGCAGTTCTAGAGTTCTCAGGTAGGGTGTTCCAGATTTTAGGGCCTTTGACATACATTGAATTTTTGTAAAGGTTTAGTCGGACACGGGGAATGTCATAGAGATGTTTGTGTCTGGTGTTGTGCCTGTGGGTTCTGTCACAACTATCAAGAAAGCATTTTAGGTCAAGGTTAATATTGGAATTTAAGGTCCTGTAGATGTAGATTGCACAGTAGTAAGTGTGGATGTACTAAACAGGGAGTAAGTTTAGATCTATGAAGAGTGGGGGGGAGTGTTGCCAGGGATGGGATTTAGTGATTATTCTTACTGCGGCTTTTTGTTGGGTTATTATTGGCTTCAGGTGTGTGGCTGCAGCTGAACCCCAAGCACAGATAGCATAGGTGAGGTATGGATATATAAGTGAATGGTATAGTGTGAGAAGGGCAGTTTGCGGCACGTAGTATCGTATCTTGGAGAGGATGCCAACCGTTTTGGATACTTTTTTGGTTATGTGTTGGATATGGGTGCTGAAATTCAGGTTGTTGTCAAGGTATAGGCCTAGGAATTTGCCCTCATTATGTCTGAACTTGAACTAGAATTCATCACAGCCACACTGGCAGGAGATTCAGCTGTAAAAAACTTGCATTTGTGGTCATAGTGGTGCCTATGCTAACCTCCCTGTGGTGTATAAATATACCTAGTTGAATGAAACTTACTAATCTTATTGTAGCCAGCTGGCCCAGTGTGTTATGCACTGGCCTGGAGTTTTACGACTCGCTTGCCTTGAGTTCGAGCCCCACCTGTACCGTGGTTTCTTTAGTTGCCAGTTGGTAGGTGTGTCTTATGACTTTGTGCAAAAACAACTTAAGTTAAATCCACTACAATGAAATAACTGACCTCCATATCAACTGCACCAGTATTCAATGGGAAGACAACATGGCAGAAAACCTGATCAACAAAACTCCAAGGAAATGACAGGTCTGTAGGACTTTTTTCCTCAGTGCCAAAAGAGGGAAAGAATTGAGCATTTAAACATGGCTGACCAGCATCCAAACACCAGCTACTGCCAGACAAAAAACTGCGAAGTGAAATTCTATTTTTACTGACTTTATCGTATGACAGTGCATCATATCTGTACCCCATCATATCCCGTACCAGTGCTAACGAGGGGGAAAACAAGGGACATCGTCAATCAACAGTACAAAACTCCAAGGATATAGGCGGGACCCCTCAGTGCCAGCGTGGAAAGATGAATAGTTAAACAGAAAAGGTTAATTTTTTAGTACTGACCAAAATTTTCACTGACCAGTGTCATGAAGAACCCATAGCAGAAAATGCCAAATATACTAAAACTAAGGGGAAAGTCATTTGTAGGGGGGTTTACTTCCTCTTTTTTTAAAAATGGTGATCAGCAGACCGGGTCAGGAGTCAGCAACCGACAAAACCCCCCGAAAAAAGGGAATTTGGGGGGGGATTTGAAGGGATAAAACCATTGAAAAAACCCTTTTTTGGGTTTCCCCCAAAAATGGAAAGGAGTTAGAATTAATGGGTGAAAGGGGACTTGAAGTGGGGGGGAAGGGGGAGGTGTAAAAAGGGGGTTTAACTGTAAGGGGTTTGTGAATTTAAGGGGGAAAAGTGAGCAGTAAAAGGGGGTTTTGAAGAAAAAAATTTATTGTAATTCAGTGGTGATTGCAAGTAGATCTGGGTCATATGACGGGAAAAAGGAAATAAATTTTTTTGTATGAGAAAAAAGACGAAGATAAAAAGCGGGCTTGGGGGGATACGGCTGCCTAGGGGTTATTTTCTTTCTTCTCCCAATTCCTGAAGAAAAAAATCAGTTAGGGGGGCTGGGAAAAGGTAAGGGGAGTAACAGCGCCCTGGACAGTAAAACCCAAACAGTTGCCATCCTCAAAAAAGAAAATGTCACTTCCCCG